ACAATTAAACCTTGGGCAATGAGATCTATCAAATCACAGAAAAAAGAATAAATGTTTTAAAAATAAATAAATAAACAAATGTGAGCAACATAATCAATATTTATTTAACATAAAACGGAACTCCATAATTTAATTGGTGTAGTAATATAGACATAGTCTAATACAAGAAGAGGTAACGTACTACTATGAAGCACCGACACTTCAAAAACCATGACGTGTCGTTACTACAAAAAAAGCGGTGTCTAGCTACATGTGTTTTGCCACATTTAATGAAATCATCATAAAATTACAAAAATATCCTTATCTTTTCTCATTGTTTTTTTAACGTCCCAAATGATCCTAGAAAAAAAAACTTTTTTCTGACTTGAGTAAAATCGAAAACACAAAAACTCAACTCTTTCATTTCTTCATTCTTCAATTTAATTTAGAAGTTTTCTTTATTCCATCTTTCTTCAAATCTCCATTTCCAGCAATCACAACTTCGAAATTTTTCCCCTCCTTTTAATCATAGCATTTCTTCATCTTCGTCTGTAAAACTTCTCCGATGGAGGAATACAAAACACCTTCATCTCTTTAAATCTATTATCTTATGTTTCTCTCTCTAAAATTCTTTGCACTTCCCTTTTTCAAGTTTGTAAGCCGGCTAAAGAATTCTCTTCTGATTATCGCGGTGCTGAGAAATTTCGATTCGCATTCGATTTCGAGTTCTCCCGAGCATTATTAGGGTTTCTGAATTTTTTGTTTGAGGGGCCGAGGATGCTGCTGGAGTTAGGGTTTTGGGTGGATCTAGGGTTTTGCTGCAGTGCGTGGTTGGGGAATTAAGGTGGTATTGACGGTAGTTGCTGGTTATGAAGGTGGGATCGAGGGGGAAAATGCAAGGCTCTGGCTATGGATGCACTTCGAGTTGAGAAGAGAAAAAAGAGGACTCGGCACATGTGAAAATCCACCATGCGTGTTCACCCTATTGTAAGCGCTGATATTTCTTCTTCTTCATCGTTATCGTTAGTTAAATCCTTCTATAAGATATCCCCCAATGCTCTTAATTTTTATTTTTATTTCTGGAACAACTTTGGGGTAATTGTATCGAAAGGTTTTTGGTTACCTCTGTATTTGTGCAGTGTATTTGTATGTTGATTTATTTTGTCAATCAGAATATTATGTGAAAGATTATTAATTAAGCTTATTAATCAAAATATGCTTATTAATTAAGTTACATATGACCAAATTTCTATAATTTAGTTTATTAATTAAGTTGATTTATGTTAATGGGGGAATGGATTACACGAATTTGTTCATCAGATGCCGATGATTGAGGAGGGACTTTTTTTTTGGTATCTTGTTTATTGCTATACTCATCAAACTGGCCATGGCTACAAATCACATTGTTGGAGGACAGAATGGTGGGTGGGATACAAACTCGAACCTGCAATCATGGGCGTCATCCCAAATATTTTCAGTGGGAGACAATCTCAGTAAGTCACTAGCATGCATCCATGAGACACAATTCTGATTCATGCTTTGATTTACTTAAAAAGAACACATTACCTTTTTTTTCTTTGTTGAACAAATTTACATCGTATGCACAATATTATTGTAAGTTGATGACATTGACATGGGTACATGCAGTTTTTCAGTACCCTCCAAACCATAACGTGGCTGAAGTTACTAAGGCAGACTATGACTCCTGCCAGCCAACTAACCCAATTCAATCTTACAATGTGTGAGGTACTGATGAATTTTTTATTGTGTCTCAATTCTGATACTTAATTTCTGATACTTATATATATGTCTCAATTCTGATACTTAATTTCTTCAAGGATTTATTGTGTGAAGTACTGATGAATTTTTTTTTTGAAAATTTAAAATATCTAGATTAGGGGAGACACCTCTGTCTCATATAAGGAATGAAATTACTCTGAGCAATAGAAGCCTTCTTATATATCGTATTTGCAGTGATTTGTTTTTATAATGGAAGTGGCTTATGCAGTATCGTATTTTTCTTCGTAAATTATTTTGATGTTTTTGAGTTGCATGGTCTGAATATTAATAAATTATTTTAATGGAGAACTAACTATATGTATCACCTGATGAGTCAGAGCATTTGGAAACCAAATTTTTTTTTTGATATTTTTGGAATGCTAAATTCTTAAGGGGAATAAATCTGCAGGGTGAAAAAGGTGGAATATAATATTTAGTTGTTTGTTTACTTTTTTCTTTTTGATGGACGAAAAATTGATTGAGATAGTATATTGTGTACCTTAGTCCCAATAGGAGCCTCCAATCTCACCCAGAGAGAGAAGGAGAGGGAGAGACATGCCATTGTGTCTGGAGAAAAAATAAAATTTGTTTTGGATTGACAATTGCATTTTTATGATTTTAAAGGTGTTACATATTGCCCTATTAATGTAAGCTTTATGCTTATTTGTGATGGATATTAGGAGAACCGAAGTTGGCGCAGCACTTGAGACCAAATGGAGCCAGGCATGCTGGAAAGAAAGGAATGGCCATGAACAAAGTCAGAAAAAATATGCAGGTAAAAGGAATGAAAAACCAATCCATTTTGAATGTGGGGAAAAACCAAATGGATATTATTATTTTTCAATCCTTTTGAGTCTTCACTGCTAGGAAATTTGGAAAAGAGTAAAGAAAAATATAAAAAAACCAGAATTATGTAACATAATTATCTAGGGTGAAGGAAGAAGCCTTCCAATTAGTCAGGAGCCTGGAAATTTTATCAACAATAGAGTCGTAGAAGTCCTAGAAAGAAGCAGCCTGTGCATTATGGATTAACACCTAATTACAATTTGAACTATATAATCTATCTTTCATTTATAATCTATCTTTCATTTATAATCTATCTTTCATTTAAATAATCATATATTTTGTTTGTCTCCCATATTTTACTTACGCTTTTCATCATTTCATATTTCATCGAAAGTCGGAACAAGCTCAAAACCAGCCATTTATACACAAAAATAAAATAAAAATCAACAACTATAAAATTTCATCCAAGAAGCATCCAACAAGCATGTATTTACTAGCTTAAGATAATCTCAAAAATTTAAATTAAATGAATAAGTGACTCAACTTGTCGATATTAGACACATCACACAAAGATGTTTCCAACCACCACATGATGTGCCCCTGTTTCATTTTCGACCAATGTATATGTCCTTCTTCCCTTGATATAATATTTCTAACCTCTTCTATATTTTGTATTAAAAAAATTAAGGAATTAATATATTCTCTTTTTGATGCAGAGGTAATGTTATTTCGTTCTTGGTATTCTTGGCTCCAATGTAAGTATTTATATCTATCAAGAAAAGAAATAGAGATTCACAGATTTTAGTTAATATTAATTATAAATAAAAATATATATTTTACCTTCCTTGAATATTGCCGATCAACATTTTACTGAATATACAAGAAGAAATCGTCAGGGGGTTTTAATCACTGCCTTAAATGGTGGCACTGTTCAGTTCCATGCTTTGATTATACTATGTTTTACTCAAAAAAGACGTTATTCTCATTACCATTAACTCATTTAGATGTGTGGTAGAGATCATTTACATCATCTTCTGCTGTGGGTGTCTTTGCAGTCCCACTTAGAATTGTGGTACTTAATGCAATGCAATGCAATGTGCTCTTTTACAAATTTGCCACTTAATATTCATTTTTTTTTGTTTTGATACATGCAGGCATTAGAGCAGTTTTTGGATTCAGGAAAATCTATTGCCTTTTCTGATGGTCTTGTTATTAATGGCTAGGCTCATACTACCTTAAATGGTGACTAGGGTTAGTCCTATTAAAAGGATATTTTGTAAATTTTAAGTGATTCATTTTTAGTTAAAATAATCTTTAATGTTTGTAAATTCTAAGTCTTATCAATGTTAGATTACTTCATGAGATAAAACAAATCATTGTTGAAATTACCTTTAATGATATTTATATCTATTTTCTCCCCTAAATTTTATTCCTTTTATTTGTTTTAATTCTGTGAATTCAGCCACATTGTGGCTGTAATCTTTTTAAAAAAAATAATCATTAAAATAGCCACATTTAAACCGTGGTAAATATAATCAATAAACGTAGCTAAACTAATGCTACCACACTCAAATAGAATGTGGCCAAGTAAAGCAATAAATGTGGCTAAAATATTGCTACGCCACGATTAGCCACGTTCACAAAAAGTGTGGTTGCTTTTATTAGCCACATTGTTTAAGCAATTTAGCCACGTTTAATAATGTGGCTAAACACCGATTTTTTTGTAGTGCGTGTCCGACACTTTTCGACACTCCTCGACACTCCAATACGTGTTATAGAAATTCAAAAAAAGGTTCAAAGGTTACGTTGCGTTGAGATTTTAGTTTCAATTATTAGATTCGTTGAATTACGATTACCATTTTAATTTATTGAGTCTAATATAAATATTTGGGATATCTTATGTTTCTTTTCAAAATTCATGAATATTAGAAGTTTAGATTCATTTTTTTTGTTAAATTATTAAATATTACATACAATATATATTACATAAATTAAAAAATTTATCTAATATCAAAACGTGTCGTAACGTGTCGAAATCTAACATTTTTTAGAATTCACGTGTTGGAGTGTCGTGTCGGAGTGTCACGTGTCTCGTGTCTGTATCGGTGCTACATAAGCGTACTATTCCGCAGCTTATATAGCCTATTATCCTATTATCATTTAATATTTTCTCATCTTATTCATTTTTAATAGAATTTCAGCAAAAAAGAAGCCATGGGAAACCAAAGTAAAAAAGGGGAAAACATTAATATTCGTGATTAGTTTATTTCGATCATTACAATTATAGCAATAGGTAGTTCAAACAATGTGCGTCTTAGGTCCTTGCACAGAAGCACTTACTGAACAACAAAATGAAGGAAAAAAAAAGGTACAGAAATAATAAAAGTAACAACAGAAAATCACATAAAACAAAGCTGGCACAAATGTTGAACTTTAAGTTCTATCCAACATCAGGCCTAGGGAGCAAAGCCTTGCTTCAAAGTTTCAATGATGGAAATATTAGTCTTGAAGGCCAAAGCCAAGACAGTGTCGTCAATGGTGGTATTGAACAATGTGTTGGGAAGTGATATTCTTCCCGCATTAGCACTACCAGAGGCTGATATAGCTAGAGCAGGAATCTTAGTGTCAGCATTGTGGTTGAAGTGCACAAGACCCTTTGGGAATATGAACAAGTCACCAGCTTGAAGATTCTGTGTAAAAAGTTTATTGGTTGTGTCTACGAACCCAACTTGAAGGGAACCCTGAACAACTAAGAGTAACTCAGCAGAGCGAGGGTGTGTGTGGGGTGTAGGGCGAAGGTGTGCGTGGGGTGGGTTGACACTACTAGGAGGGAATTGAAGGACAGTATAAGACACACTCTGTCCAATGAGAGCAGGGAATTCTATCATGCTTGCCGTCAATATCTTAAATTCAGGGGGTGGTGTGTTTTGTCCAACAAGGACACGAAAGCCAGTGTAGGTAAAGAAGTTCCCATCAATTGGGAGGCCAATAAGATCTATGTAGTCAGTGAGTATGTCAGGGTCACCCGCTCTTGTTATTTGCATAATGGCAAAAGCTGATATGATCAATGAGAGAACTTTAAAGGTAGAGGAAGACATAATTAATCACTGAGGCTAAGGAAAGCTAAGATAATAGTTGAGAGATGTGGTTATGGGATTTTAGGAATGACATATATATAGATAGGGGTTCTCTGGTTGAAAAATGAAAATTTTGAGGAGGTAAAAGTGGAGATTACAATGTAATTTTGTAGTTTGTACTTTGTTTGACTGTGCCATTTAACTAGAAGACACCAAGAATGTTTAAAATCAAGCTGTCATATAGTCTTTAGTCAATTATGGATGCTCATAGGCGGGTTTAGCAAATCCATTCATTCATGGCCAGAATAGGAAATGTTTTATATATGATATATATTTTCAAACAAATTAGACAAATACAAAAGCATTATTATGTTATTTACAAAATATTAATTTAAATAAAAAGTCTGATAATTTTAATTATTGCTACATTGATTGCGATTTTTTCCTCGAAATATTGATGTTAGACTAATCGATTTTTCACTTGTTAATAAATAATAACCAAGAGGTCTTCCCAAAAAGTTGTCACAATCTATTCTTAACTTAAAAATAAATACATAGCTTAAATTATTATATAATATTAAGATAAGTCGGCTAAGCAAATATGATTCAAACATGTGCCAAAAATGCATTAGGTTTAATTTTTCTAAATTTAGTTCAATTTATTTAGTTTCGAATTAAACTGAATTATCCAGCTTCAATGGGTCCTAATTAGGGGTGTTAACTAGTCGCGTCGGGCCAGGTTTTGGTCTTAAAAAATTAAATTTGTGTTTAAATGTGTCAGTCTTACCTGTTATGTATATAATTATCGGCACGTGGCCTGACTTATTTATGAAAAATAAAAGTTTGGTTTAGCCTATTAAAAAAAATAAGACAAATTTTTTTTATCTAAACAGAATATACGATCAACAACACTAATAATTTCACAAAGATTCATAAATTCAATGTATATCCAAACAGCATAATATAGAATAAATTTATTCAAAAAGTCTGTTTAACCAATAAAATGGGGTGAAATGAGTTGAGAAGAGAGAGAGGACTATTATGAGTAATATAAAAAATATATAATAAAAATAAAAGTTAGTATACTAGGCCAGCCTCAGAGGCTCTAAGGTCGAGCGTTTGAATTAGAGTCTGAGACCTTTTAATTAAACGAGCTTTTATACAAGTCCAAGTCTGATTCCAATAACTCATTTTAGACATATAATCTCAGGTCTTTACAAATCGGGCCATATGCCCGTGATTCGTTTAGCACCCCTAGTCCTAATCCTTATGTTGAATGAGTAGTACAAATCCTTGCTTCTAATCTAAGGACTTTTTGACCTTAGTAGTCCCATTTTCAAAAGGTTTCACCGGAATAATTTTCTGGTCAAACGTATTACCTATATAATGCATAACGACGCAGTATTGTGGGAATCACTTTAGGTGCTGTTTGGTTCAGGAGATTCTATAATTTTCTTAGGCAAATGAACTTGGCAATCCAGTTTGACTTCGTTTGGTAGACAGATTTGGCAACGTTGCCCATCTATGCCATTTGCATGGCATTTCTCCATTTGGTCGATGAAAGCTAGACATTGGCACTGTTGAGAAAGCGAACTTGGACGTGGGATTTTGGTGATAGCCGTCTAAATTGGAAAGTGCAAAATTAAAGCTACCGAAATTACCCTCCTGATATATCTTGTTACGACAGGAGGGAGGGAGGGTGTGAGTGTGTTGTTTGAGATCATTGGGATCTGAAATGGCGTCGAGGAATCGCACTTTGCTGTTCAGAAAGCATAGAGATGCATTGAAGAGTGTTCGGGTTCCGTCCACCTCTTCGCCGTCGTCAACCACCACTTCCCGCGGTGGCCCCGTCATCGAATTGGTCAGCACCTCCCTTCTCAATCCAAGTCGCTCTTACACTCCGCTTAGTACTGACAATCCCGGTAATTCAAGGTCTGCTTCTCAGATCTTACAATGTTTTGTTTTTATGCATGTCATTATTGATCAAATGTCCAAAATGCCTAGATCCATAGCTTATTTCATTGTTTTCTTTTATATTTATATTAATATGTAGGAGTTCTCACATTTACTGTTGCAGTTTGTAACTTCAAACATGAAACCATAATTGCTAGGAGTTTTAGCTCAGAATATTAGTGAAGGATATATATTATTAGTGTATGGTACACTTCAAGATTATCAGTAAAGTTTTGGGAATTAGAATTACCATGTAAATTGGACACTTGATTATAAAAATAAAAATATTATGCAGGGTTCAATTCTCTGTCTTTTGTTTTTCACATGTTTCAAGTTATACAAGATTTGGTAACGGTGGTTATTTATTTATTTTTTAATGGATGCAGTAAGGGTCTAAATCCAATTACTGTGGGGCTACCTCCAGCTTGGGTGGATGTTTCTTTCAAGGAAAGAGTGTAGCCACAATGTTTATCTGGTGCTCTTGAAAGACATATAACACCTTCTATTTTAAGGATTCAATAATGGAAAGCATCTTCCTTGTTGGACTCACAATGTAGCATATGGGATATGCATGTTGTCTATTCCTTCAGTTTGCCAAAACAAGTTGCAGTCAGTTCTCAAGGTGTACAATAGCAGAAGTAAGTACCATTTTGCAGAAAAAAACAAGTCAAGTTGCCTAAGAAACTGAGGACAACAACTCTGCTAAGGGTCAAATACACAAGAAGATGTTCACGTTGCCATCTGAATTATAGGTTGCAGTCTACATTCCCACAAATCAGCTTTTATTCATTTTTTAACTTGTACAAATTTGGAATTGATTCAGTTATCTTTTCAGATTATGCATCTGAATTTTGTAAACACAGTAATCTTACATCAGTGTAGTTGTAAAGATCCAATATTTGTGAAGTAGTACATTTATGTAAACAATGATTTCTCAGGATCCTCACCAAGAACCAAAGGTTCAAATCCAATATATGTGGCATGGTTTGTAACTTACAATTGATTTGATATCCCAAGGTAAATTTTGATCAAAGTTTCAAGTCCCACCTGCATAAAATTATGTTGACTGTATACTCTGATGGAAAGATATACTAAATCCAGAATTGTTTGAGTTTTTACATATGGGACTTAAGTCGTTGACAATAGATCTGAACATAATGGAATCTAATCCACAGGAACTAAAAAATAGATTTGAACATATTTGTAAGTTTCAATAATTGGTGAATAATACAAAATGAGTGGCTTTTAAAAATAGGGATATTTTTGTAATTGCCACTTATTTTCCCATCTATATTTTACCTCAAACCAAACATAGATTTTATAAATCTTACTTAATTTGCCTGGTAAAATTTGTTCAAACCAAACAACTTTTTTTACATATTCTTACCTAACTCACTTTCCAACTATTTCCCTATCAATTAAATTTCCCTAATATTCAAAAAACTTCTTCTCAACTAAACATCCACTTAAGACGTGACACTTTAACAACCACATTCTTTGTATTTGTTTCTGCCACTAGAATGTGATACCTTCTCAGCCGCATCATATGTGTCAGTGGGTCAATTCAACAAGACGCGGTACTTTCTGAAGTACCGCGTTTCAGTTGGTCAAAATCTATCCTTTTAAAGCTTTAAGGAATAAAAAATGAAAAATAGATAAGAGGGGAGGAAAGGATAAAGGAAAAAAATGTTTTTTTTTCCTACTGTTATTTGGAGAGAGAGAAAAGATTTAAAAAATATAAGTTCATTACTACTTTGCTCTTCATTCCTTATAATGAAAGGCTAACATGGCGTCTTCAGTTCAGTGTGTGTCGTCTCGTTCTCAGCATGCCAACCGCTAAGCTTGACTGTATCTCCCACCATTTCCTTTTGAGTATTATTGAGCAGAAAACTAATAATCAAGATCAATTTCAGAACATTATTTGAAGCAGAAGTTGATATAAAGATGAAGGAGCCTCATCCCTCTTCAGTCTCTGCGCTCTCCACTCTTCTTCTCCAAAACATCTCCTTTTATTTTCATCCCGTAGTGTTACTGCAATAATATTGCTAAAAGTCTGTGAAACATGGACCCCTCTAATTTGTTGGGCTTCCTCCTTCAATGCTAAGTCCAAGCCCATTTGAGGGGTTCCCTAAAAACCCTAACCCTAATTTCCACCTCTTCTATATATACTCATTGTTGTGGGTGGAGGCTAGGTTAGATTTGAGAGGTCAGATTTGAGAGAAAAAATTTGAGAGAATTATTTGATTGTTTGAGTAAAGCTTTATGCTTTGCATTTGAGAGATCTCTAGAGAGAGTTTGAGCGAAACATCTCTAGGGTAGTTTGATTATCACCATTGTTAGAGAGGTTGAGTTAACCACCACATTGGTGTATTTGATTATTTGTAACCATTATTTTCATAGTGGATTTCTGATCTGGACTAGGTCCCGTGGGTTTTTACTTCTTCATTGGAGAAGGTTTTCCCACGTTAAATCTGGTTGTGTTCTTCTTCTCTCTCTCTTGTTTTCGTTTTGATTTTTCCGCTGCGCTACCCGACCTGGTAAAGTTTAGGCCGAGGTATTGCCGAGAACCGAGATCAGGATCTTGTTGATTGACTTCCGCACAAAGGCCCTTGAGCCGATCTGAGGGAACCAATTTTTTCCCAACAGTGGTATCAGAGCCCGGGTTCGACGGGTTCTGAGGGAGACGAGATGGAGACCAGTGGCATAACTCATGATGGAGATATGTTCAAGTTGACCGTAGATAATTTCACATATTGGAGACCGATGATGGAAGATCATCTCTACTGCAAAGATTTGCATGAGCCCATTATCCTTGATGAGAGACCGACAGGCAAGACAGATAAAGAGTGGGAGATCCTGAGTCGGAAGGCGGTAGCCACGATCAGGAAATATATTGATAAAAGCCTCTTTGAGCACGTGTCCGAATTCACGAACGCGTATGAGTTGTGGACAAAATTAGAGTCCATGATTTAGAAGAAGACTCCCAGGAACAAAGCACAACTGGTTCGCCGACTTGTTAAGCTTGAATACAAGGACAGCATAAGCATGATTGAACACCTGAACACCTA